CGCAGTAGACGCATCCGACTCAGCAATCGGAGGAGTCTTACAACAATGGATTAACCACTCCTGGCAACCATTGGCATTTTTCTCTAGAAGGTTGCTAGACATCGAATCGAGGTACAGCACATTCGGTAGGGAACTCCTAGCTATGTATTGTGCTGTACGACATTTTCAACACTACATCGAAGGTCGTGAATTCACTCTTTTCACTGACCATAAACCGCTCACCTTCTCTCTAAGCTCTACTTCAGACAAGTACTCTCCCCGTGAGTCTCAACAACTGGACTGCATTTCGCAGTTTACTTCAGACATTCAACATATTTCTGGAGCAAACAATGCAGTTGCAGGCGCCTTATCTCGCATAACTTCCTTGAACAGTTTCCAAGGAATCGACCTTCGTAAACTCGCCGAGCTTCAAAAAGAAGACACTGATCTTCAGCACGAGTTATCGTCCACAACCCTTAAACTACTCATCAAACAGATGGGAACAGGTAAGGAAACCTTACTTTGTGACACATCTACAGGTAGTGATCGCCCAATCGTGCTGAAACATTATCGACGCAACGTCTTCAATACGTTGCACAAACTTTCTCACCCAGGTGTTCGTGCAACCATCAAGCTTGTAGCAGAACGGTTTTGCTGGCCTGGCATGAATAAAGACGTGAGGGAGTGGGCACGCTCCTGTGTAAGCTGCCAAAAATCTAAGGTTATCAGACACAATAAATGTTCCTTAGGCTCATTTAAAACTCTCGATGCTCGTTTCGACCATGTTCATCTGGATTTGGTAGGACCTTTACCAGATTCAAATGGATACTGTTGCCTCTTAACCTGCGTAGACTGCTTCACTCGATGGCCAGAAGCAGTACCTATTAAGGACATCACTGCTGAAACAGTGGCCCGCACCTTCGTCGAACGATGGGTAGCAAACTTCGGTTGCCTTCAACTATCACTACAGATCGCGGATGTCAGTTTGACTCCGGACTTTTCCGTCGTCTGACCACGCTCTTAGGAATCACTCGCTTCCGAACGACCGCCTACCATCCACAAGCAAACGGGTTGGTAGAACGTTTTCACCGACAACTAAAAGCTTCACTATCAGCTGCGAGCGTTTCACAATGGACCGACGCACTTCCACTCGTCTTACTAGGTATCCGCAATGCAGTGAAAGCTGACATTGGATACACTGCGGCTCAACTCGTTTATGGAACGACACTTCGACTTCCAGGAGAATTCGTGGATCCTTCATCCTCTTCAATGAGCATGGATCTAACCTCCTACACGAACAGGCTTACAAACGCAATGCGTTCAGTTAAACCTGCTTCCACTCGACCACAATCAACTGATGTTTTCGTTCAACCTGACTTACGATATAGTACACACGTTTTCGTTCGTCGAGACTCACATCGACGACCATTCGAATCAGCATACGAAGGACCTTTCAATGTTCTTCAACGTGAATCTAAGTACTATATAGTCGATAAGAACGGAACAAACGATGGCATCAGCATCGATCTCTTAAAAGCAGCGTATCTAGAAGGAAATCCTATTCACGTCGACTTTCCTTCGGTACAATCGCACAACACGACTCCTACACTCATAATTCCTCAACAGACAACCAACACTATCGATGATACTCCGAATGCATCTGAAAATAAACTAAAACGACGCGTTTTGGAAGAAGAGTAAGATTTCCAGAACATTTAAACGACTACTGCACGTAAGGCACTACTCGACATTCTGTATTATCTCGATCTTTCTTTTTACGATATATAATATTAAAAAAACGATTTTAATGTGCTTATATATTTATATTTTTATTTAAAAGAAACAAACAGAAAACATAAAAATTTTTTAACGCTATTACGTGTGCTTGAGTTTATTTTCCATTATTTTTTGCCGACATTGTGTTTTTACACACATACGAGTGTATTTCGACATGCACTTACACTTTCTTTTTTCTTTTCCAGGACGGCTGGAAAAGAACGATACAGTTTATGAGGAGCCGAAATTTTCATTGTACTATTTCTTTTTTTACTATGTTGTACCTCGGTCCCATATGGTAAGGAAAGACGATCAGACACTGCTGAACCTAGTAGGCTATCAGAAGAGTGTTTACCAACGACGAACTCGTTGGGTTTAAACTTCTGGCTGGCCACGTCCTAGGGTCGTCACTGCTCCACTAGGGGGTTGGGTTGGAGAGGTAAATAAATCCTCAAAATAAATAGCTCTGAAAGTTTTCGACATTGGATGCTGATCATTGGTTTCAGTGGACTCACCTAGCTGACGGCGCTCGGTCATGCATCCGTACCAGATCACGTGTGGTAACGCTGTGCTCAACATCTACCGCAATCGCTAGCCAGATTAGATCAGAGAATTCTGATATATTGGTAATCGCCAAATACACTCTTCCGATCTCCTCGACTCTGTCTTTTGATTTCTCTCAGTGGGTGCAAATTATATTAGGTGTTGCTTGTAAAAGCGTTGCCAAACACTGAATACCTGTGCCACCTTCAGTTTGTTTAGTTCAGGCATATCACATAGTAGTGAGTTTAGGCTAGAGTGATCGTAAATAAGGCATCCTCCGCCTCGTCCATTCAATCTATCACTTCTATATAGGAAATAGTTATCAAGAGATATACTTAGGTCTGAAATATTACTGTTTGTCTATTTTTCAGATATCATTATAAGTGATGGTTGATATATGGATACAAACAGGGCTAGATCCGCCTTTCTGTGTGCAGATCGATCGAGCGTTGATAAGGCTTATATTAAGCAAGTGACCTACTAAGTTAAAATGGGTGAGGGTATCTCGGATAAAGTCGTCGTAACCCTCGCGGGTGTGAGATGAGTTTGAAGTGAGGTGTAGTGTTAAATAAATCCCCAAAATAAATAGCTCTGTAGGTTTTCGACATTGGATGCTGATCATTGGTTTCAGTGGACTCACCTAGCTGACGACGCTCGGTCATGCATCCGTACCAGATCACGTGTGGTAACGCTGTGCTCAACATCTACCGCAATCGCTAGCCAGATTAGATCAGAGAATTCTGATATATTGGTAATCGCCAAATACACTCTTCCGATCTCCTCGACTCTGTCTTTTGATTTCTCTCAGTGGGTGCAAATTATATTAGGTGTTGCTTGTAAAAGCGTTGCCAAACACTGAATACCTGTGCCACCTTCAGTTTGTTTAGTTCAGGCATATCACATAGTAGTGAGTTTAGGCTAGAGTGATCGTAAATAAGGCATCCTCCGCCTCGTCCATTCAATCTATCACTTCTATATAGGAAATAGTTATCAAGAGATATACTTAGGTCTGAAATATTACTGTTTGTCTATTTTTCAGATATCATTATAAGTGATGGTTGATATATGGATACAAACAGGGCTAGATCCGCCTTTCTGTGTGCAGATCGATCGAGCGTTGATAAGGCCTATATTAAGCAAGTGGCCTACTAAGTTAAAATGGGTGAGGGTATCTCGGATAAAGTCGTCGTAACCCTCGCGGGTGTGAGATGAGTTTGAAGTGAGGTGTAGTGTTAAATAAATCCCCAAAATAAATAGCTCTGTAGGTTTTCGACATTGGATGCTGATCATTGGTTTCAGTGGACTCACCTAGCTGACGACGCTCGGTCATGCATCCGTACCAGATCACGTGTGGTAACGCTGTGCTCAACATCTACCGCAATCGCTAGCCAGATTAGATCAGAGAATTCTGATATATTGGTAATCGCCAAATACACTCTTCCGATCTCCTCGACTCTGTCTTTTGATTTCTCTCAGTGGGTGCAAATTATATTAGGTGTTGCTTGTAAAAGCGTTGTCAAACACTAAATACTTGTGTCATCTTCAGTTTCATTGAGAAGAGTATTACAGTGAACTCGAACAAGTATCTAGTTTTGAATAACTTGCATACCTAGTTGAATGTAGTGGTTTTTGATGAAATATGAAAAGAGTCGCTCCACTGACAAACGTTCGATCTCCAGTACTACATTCACTGGTGGGCGGTCTTCAATACTATTCCCGACAGTCGTGTCACTGAATATCAGGTATACCTCAGATTCTTGTCAGGGTCAATGAGAACATTGAATATTTGCACTCCTTATATTGGTCCGGGCGGTTTTGGTCGCAATTTTTTTCTTCTATCTACTCCTGCTAAAATATTTCTGCAATAACGTTGTCTTTGTTGTACGGTCCTGAAACAGGACGTAGTAGCTGTATACGACGAGAAAGTAAGCCGCGTTAGATGCTAACCGTTAAATGTAACTTCCACGTAAGCTGGTTGATCACACCGTTCTCATCTAACTCAAGTAGGCTCCCAATTATTCTACACAGCTCTCCGTTGTTGATCGACAAACACTTTGACCCTATAGGCATTAAGGAGTGTAGATCACCAACGCAAATGATCTATGTCGAAATGATTAGAGACCTACTCGATTTAAATATGAATGTTGAGATAAACCAGCTAACGTCAAGGTCACACCTTGCAGTCAACACCTTACATGGTCCACCCCATTGACGTATCCAGGTACTATAGATGCCTTGAAGACTGTACAACACAAAGGAAGTTGTTACAGAAATAAATTGGTTAAAGTAGATACAAGCGGAGGTAATACCACTGCCGCATGAGCCAGTCCATGGAGTACGATTAACTCACGTGCGTTGGTTATCCTCAATTATTTGTTCAATATTCAATGACCTAACTGCCGGATGATCTGGTCAGGGCTCAGTGGAATTTCACTGACCCTACAGGAGGAATACTCCCGCTGTTATTTTCAGACCACTTCTATTATCGACCTAATTGTTTTGATGCTCAGTTTTTCATAACAATGTGCCTCTTTCAACTACCAAGTTGCATATCCTAATGAACAGATAATTCTCTAATCTTGCTTTGCACGTTTGAAGCTTTTGAGCTCATCTATCAAGTAAAGTCCTGTCTTTTTCGAATGATATTGCACAATTAGACGAAGTTTATACTAACACATAGTTTGAACTCACTATTTTGTGTGACCTTAGATACGCACGTAATTGAAAGGCAAGGTAACTATAGCCGCGGCCTGTATATGCTGCAAAGCCTACGATATAATTTATCTTTACTGGAGATTTTCTGGGGTTTTTAAATTTTACAGCATTTTTCTATCGATTTATGACAACGAAATATCCTATGGAAAGCGATCGAATTCGTAGGGTTTGTTTTATTTGTCTGTGAGCTTATCTAATATAAATTACAACTGAGATCGACAGAATAAGATGAATTCTCTTTTGTGAGTATATGAGAAATTTTAATTGAGTCGTACCATTCTATAACTATTCCATTACATACCTGCAGGCCGCCTGTGTGTCAGTAGATTTCTGGCGATTGTGGTCACGATGTTTGAAGTAAGTCCGTGATCTTTCGTTGCGTTGAGCAAAGTTTATCCGACGGATTCTCCAACTCGTTTTCAATGTCAAGCGGTTCGGTGCTTCGGTTTTTCTAATGTATACCATTGTTTGATTTTTATATTCGACCCTATATTTTTGTTTATCGGCTGTCCTTTATTCTTTTGATGTCTTAAGATTTCATGATAATTTATTGTACAATAAGCTTATAAGCCTAATATTACGAGATACAGTCCCTTCTTAGACTGATTAGAACATCGATTAACCCTAGCCCAAGACGTCGATATCTTAGGTAATCAGCTTAACATTGTTTCAGTTTCAGTTTCCGTTTGGGAAGGACAGGAGGCTCGATGGCCTATGTTAGTCCTGGCAATGACGGTCTCTCAGTTGATCCAACTTTCTTTTGAAAGAGTCGACGGATGGAGCCTCAACTACGTGCTGAGGTAGTGAATTCCACTCGTTGATGATTCGATGGGAAAGTCGATGGTCAGCTGACAAGTAATTTGTTCTCGGCTTGTGAAGTTTTTTTGAGTGTCCTTGTAAATTCTCTGTTTTGGAAGACAAGAAAAATGAGGGCATATTAGGTGCAAATTTATCACTAAGCAATTTGTAGACTGTAATCAAGTTACCTCTAGTTCTGCGATATGACAACGGGAAAAGGGTCAGCTTGACCAGTCGAACTTCGTACGGAAGCTTCACTATTCCGGGAGTCAGCTTAGTTGCTGTTCTTTGAACCCTTTCCAGAAGCTCACTGTCTTTTTTTAAGCAGGAGCTAGCCGCTTGTATGCAGTACTCAAGTTTAGGGCGTACGAACACTATACAAAGTCAAAAGCGTTTTAGCGTCGATATGACTAAAAGCTCTACGTATTGACCATAAGGTTCTAAAACCTTTGGCGGCCATTGCACGGCAGTGTGCAGTAGTCTTTAAGTCTTGATTACCGATAACTCCTAAGTCACTATATGTCTGGACGACAGGTAGCTCAGTGTTATTCATCGTGTATGTATCTGTACCTTGATGACCGATATGCATCACAACACACTTGGAAGTATTTATCGGCAACTGCCATGTTTGAGACCATTCAGACAATTTCTTCAGGTCATTTTGAAGTTCTAAGCTATCACTCTTACATCGTATCGTTTTCCATATCTTGACGTCGTCAGAATATTATAGCAAGACCGATGATGATAGGAGACAAGGAAGGTCATTTACATACAAGAGGAATAGCACTGGTCCCAAAACTGTACCCTGGGGCACTCCACTAAGCACAATTTCCCAGCTAGATAACTTTGAGTTCACCCTTACTCTTTGTTGACGCCCAACTAGGAAGTCTTTTATCCACATCAATAAATTGCCTCCAATCCCGAATTTTCTTAACTTATATAACAGCCGGTTGTGCGGAACTTTATCAAAAGCTTTACTGAAATCAATGAAGGCGACGTCTACAGGTAGCTTTTGGTCCTTAAGAGCTCACCAGCTTTCACGAGCCACTAATAAGTTAGTGAGACAAGAATAGCCTATTCTGAAGCCGTGCTGCTTCTCCGAGAGGATCCGGTTTTTATCTAGATACTTAAACAGCTCCTTCCGAATAATCTTTTCTAAGATTTTAACAACCACACTAGTTAGGCTAACGGGGCGGTAGTTCTCAGGTTTGTGTTTCGTACCTGTTTTGAAGACAGGACTTACTATGGCGTTTTCCCAGTCTTTCGGTAAACGACCCTGCGTAACGGATAGGTTAAAGCATGTACTTAAAGGGTTCGCAACGAAGTTAGATAATTCCTTCAGTAGCCTAGGATGTAATTCATCGGGCCCCGTGGATTTACCTATGTCAAGCTTACTTAGCAGACCAAAGACATCGAGTTCTTTAATGGTCACGCTATCCAGTGTATGTATGGGGGGATCTGTATACGCTGACGAGAAGGGCGCTTCTATGGTATATACGTTGCTAAAGTAGTTCGAGAACGCTTGAGCCTTACCAAAGTCGTCCTCCACTAATGATGAAGCAGTACTGTCTCCCCATAGAGCAGGAATATTTCCTTTTCTCCTTGTCCTTTGGTTTATATAGGAATACAAGCGTTTAGGACATTCTATGGATTCCTTAACAAGTTTTTCTTCGTACAGTTTTCTAGACTTACGGTGGGTCGAGGTACAAGTGTTCCGAGCCTTTCGATACTGAGATTTTGACTCTTCAGTCCCCAGTAACCTAAATCTATCCCACATTTTCCTTTTCTTACGGAGAAGGATACGGACCTCCCTACTGAACCATGGTGGTGAGTTTTTCGGCCCCTTTGGTATAGTCCAAGGGATGTGAGGTGTGGTAACTTTTAAGTATGAATTTCGAAATGCGTCCCAGGTCGTTCCAATGGAGGACTCTGGGTATATTGTCCAATCTATTAACGATGCTGAGTGCATGATATCTGGTATGTTTGCTTTCCAGACGTTGGGTCTGGACTGGACTGACGCGTGCTCGTGACTGGCGGTTATATGGAAGTCGAAAGTTGTAACTGCGTGGTCACTTTTACCTAGGGGTGGCGTATGATGGAGGTTCGCAACATCATCCTCATAGTGAGTCAGTATAAGATCTAATAAGGATAATTCAGTGTCCGGATCGTACCTTGTCGCTTCTTTCACATGTTGCACCAGAGCACATGTGATAAGCCCATCCACTAGTTCCTGCTCGAAAGAATTCTCCGACGATTTAGTTCACAGATTTTCCCAGTCTACCATAGGTGCATTGAAGTCCCCTAGGATTAGACATCGACCACTTTGAGACCAAGTATTGAGACTGCTTAACAGGATCTCATTTGCCTCACAGCTTAAACTGCGATAGACCAAACCAATCAGCAGCTCTTGTCCCTTGCATTTCAAGCGGCAACTAACTAATTCACACGTCCCACTCTCATGGGATGCACTATCGATAATGGCAAATGGGATAGCATTCCTAATGAACAGAGCTACTCCCCCTCCTTTGCGCTTTTGTGTTCTGTCGGCCCGTACTAACGTAAAACCCTCGAAATCAAGTTCCATACAATCTGTAGCCTGTGTCAGCCAGGTTTCTGTTACTGCGATTATATCTGGCTTTGTAGAGTCAATCTGTACACCTAGTTCCGATCGCTTATTAAGTAAGCTTCGTGCATTGGTGTAACAGATCCGAAGCCTGTTTAAGTGCCTTCGTGCTTCACCTAGAGTGGCTTCGGCATCATTCTCTGTCGAAGTCTTACTACCCGAAAATTTACAATTTTCAGGTCCTTTTCGCCAGCGTCTAACCTAAGTTGTAGTTCTTTCTCGGCTTCCCGTCTTTTAACACGGTCTGCCAACGGTAGGTCCTTTCGGATAAAGACTCCTGAACCCTTTAATTTGTGTCCATTTTGTAAAATTAGGTCACGTTCGTTCGAAGAGCCGAATACTACTTTAAGCAGTCTGGAATGATTTGGTTTCGAGTCCGCTAGACTCCCTAGTCGGTACACCTTTAGCAAGGTGACCCCGGTCATATTTTGAGGCATGAGTTGATTTAGCAGCTGCCTAATCAGTACAATGTCGTGCTCAAAACGAGCTTTAGGTTCAGAGCTATCGCTCTCCTTGATTCTATGAAAAATAGCTGATCTGTCGCTATGATCAGCTTTCGATTTTTCAACTACTTTTACGGGAGCAGGGTTCCCTTTTATATCCCTACTTTTCTTCCTTACAACCTTTACCCATTCGTCAACGGTGCTGGCAGAAGCAATAACAGTTGCGTCGAACCTAGTGTTGGATTTCGGGGGGTTGTCGACGACCTGAGGGGTTGTGTTATGTTTACCATTTGAAACCGATCGAGCCTTGCGATTGCGGCTCCTAGGTGTTTCCTGTTGGATCCCATCTGGGAGACGGGGAACAGAAGACCCTACTTTTCTTGAGCTTTTTTTAAGGCAGGCCCCTTTGGAGACTGCTTTTCCTTCTTTGACGGGCGTGAGTCATCTATCACCGGACTCACCTTAGTTTCCTTCACACTGATTTGCGTGTCAACAGATCGAGTGCTGTTTGACGCGTTCCGACTATGCTTGTTAAGACACTTCTTTGCAGCATCAACCAGTGAGATGGCCTCGGTTAACAAGCTGTTTGCATCCGAGCAGCACTGTTGACAAAGCCACACACAACCCTTCTTACTGAACCGTTTGAAAGCAGCAGGCGTTAAGTTCGTGCAAACTTCGTGGTACCAGCCTTTACACTCGTCGCACTACATGCCGCTTTCAACAGGATAACGACAACCCGGACGTTGACAACTGCTTTTTTTACACTGTCCGGTCATTTAGAAGGGGTTCTTTTTCAAGATGCGATGATACTCAGAAACAAAAATAATAATCAATGACCAATAATGAAGAGCTGTAGATTGCTAGGACCAAAAGTACTAACAGATACAGTTGAAGAAGAGGTACTCAAGAGTACCGACGACAAAACTAATTGAGAGAACAGTAAAAACGATACTCTAGTCGAATACTTTAACTGAAATAAATTCAATCAAAGTGAAAACAGTAGTCTTGATACGTAATAAACTATCAAAACAAACAAATTTACTCAGCGAGGAAAAATACCACTGTCCTTTTTAAAATTGAATTTCAAATAAATAATTTTTCAAATAAATTTCATCGATGCAAGACTTCACTGAATTTTAATGTTTTATCTGCACTATTTCAACTATATTTGTTGCAGTGAATGTACAAACATTATGTTTCAAAATCCTGAATATGTATCTGAATAAAGTATCTCATCAATTATTTTTAAATTGAAGTACGTGGCCATCAGATTTTTGAGCTTCATTTTCAGCCCATTGTCGTTGTAACTTACGATTTAGCCATACACATCCGGAGGATTTTTGTTTTTTCCGCTCACCATATATTTTGTGAATTTATCAAGCCGTAAGTCTTCTGTAAGTTCTATCTTGGTTGTAAGCTGATAGATCTTTTAATCTCCTTGTGGATTTTTTGATTTGTTACTTGAGATGAACTTTATTACACAGCTTAAGACATTTCTAATTGTCTGCTTGTATTAAGAGTCATGAGATATCTAATTGTGCCATATATTTGCAGTGATGCGTTACCCAGAGCATTACGCATTAATTCCTGCATGTCGTCAATTATTTATGTTGGTAGTATACAAATGAAATACGTGAATAGACAAAATGCGCACCAAGCCGTAAATGCTACCTCTTTGTGATTAACTTATGCACCTTTATACTCTATTTTTTCGGAATTCAGTAATTTACTATTTTCCGTGCTTGACTTTATGTTTCTTTAGTGGAATAACCTGTACTAACTAGTCAGTTACTGCTGTTTATAATTGATTAGCTTCCAAACTAGACTTATGCAAAATTATCCCACTCTTCTTGCTATTGGAAATTTTATTTTCCAAAATGTAAATGGGGCTTTGGTTTTCATCTTCATTTCAGTTAATATATTATGATTAAAATAAACAAGACTAGGCTTTTAAAACGTTTGACAGATAGACTTGACTGATTTTATATGTCTGGAGACAGATTCTATGGGGAAATATTCTATTAGAACCCCGGAATAAAAGTTAGTTTTATAAAGACTCCAGGTGTTTCCTATTGATACACTTCGAGTCAAATACATCTATATTTCATCTCATATATGGCTGAAGCCCTTGTAAATTTTTAAACCCCAACATATTCAACTTATGTTAGTTTGAACTTTATAGGCTATCAACTCTATACAATCCTTAACATTCGTTTCGATTAAGTAACATGCTGCTGTAACTCGGCAGCTAAAAGTAATACGACTATAATCAACATATTTAGCATGAATACTATTGATACTACCCGATTGCTTTACTAAAAGTAGGTGAAAAGCGGTTCAAACATATATGTTGGTGGTTGAATTTGTTCACATGAGGCCAATTTTCATGAGTGTTTACATGGTTACCCTACTCTTTCGGGATCCAGTAATCAGTCAGTCATATGCGACGTAGGACTCAACACGTGTATTTTTTCATATTGCCACAACGCATTAACATATAGAGGTAGAATTATTAAGACAAACCCCAGAGTATTAGAAGTTTAAATATGATCAGTTTTAGTAGGAAACATTAGGTCTAAAGATTAGTGAAAACAGATATACAGAGATTTCAAGAATCAGAATCTAAGGGAAGATGAAGGTTTGATTCACCTCTGCCATCGGAATCGATGCTGACCTTTCTCACCCAAGGTCCCTAAACATTGATTAGAGCAATCGCTCGAAATGTAGCCAGAAAGTCTGTATCTACCAGGACGAATCATTTGATTTACTAATGATTTCATAGACAAATATCATATTTTGTTTTTGGCACTACTTTTAGTTTACTGCTACACAGGACATCACCTGTTAAGGTAGGAGGCGGTCTAGCTTATATCATACATTTCCTAACCAGTTTGCTTTATAATGATTCACTATCCAATCCACTGATTTGCTATATATATCTAATACTCCATACTTACTAAACAAACAGATGATAGTACTAGTAGGCGATGTGAGAGCATTTGAAAAAAGAGAGCCGACTCTCTCCACCCTCGGCCGTACCAGGGCACTTGTTATAAGTCGGGCCGATTCATATTTGTACCTCATTCGACATTACGGCTGACCGGCTACATATGATGTCCCATCTACGTTCATGCTAATCATTACTTGGTGATATGGAAAATAAATAGAAAAATAGATAACTTGATAAAAGTTTCCCATGGAATATAAGATAACTTTGTGCATTATTACCTGTTGGGTCATCAAGACTCTTGTTTGAAAATAGTTATACTACCTTATAACATAACTTTGATGTTCTCTAAATACAAAAATTCAGACAAATATGTTTGTGAAATTATTCTCGATTAGGGTAACTCAATGTGGATTTTTCTTTCTATACGCTATTATTTAAAAAGATTGTGTACTTTTTATGAAATTCTTTTTTAAATAGCATATTAATGAATATAAAGTTGCATTCTGATTACTTTTGATCAATTAGTAATTAGATTAAAACAAGAAGGTGAAGCTTAATAAAGAGTTTTATTTTCGAAGAATTCATTATCGGCGTTGTAAAATTGCAGATTTATACTCTTTTTCTAAAAGATAGTCACTAATATTTCTGTTGACAATGACAATAATTTGCTGGACAGTGACAAATGACCAAAATAAATAATCGTTTGAAAATTTTTCACCTGTTAAGAAGCTGAAAACATAACTTTCGAAGCCTTCAGTATTCATCAGAATATCACAGGAGTTAGATAAAATCGAAAATTGCGGTGAAGGGGTTGTGTATCACGGTTATTTAAAATGTTGAATTTGAAATGAGTTATAATTAGAAAGAACATAGAAACAGGGATCAGTCGGCTTGAAATGGCAGGTCCATAGAGAAAGAGAGGAAATGTAGGTAATTGGTTTGTATAGCTAAAAACAGAAGAGGTTCAACAAGTTTCTTTTGTGGACACAGTTCTGGTTTTTTTAGATATATGACGAAGGCTTTGTAAATGCTAGAAACGGAAGGTCGTCGTCTTTAATAAATTTCTGTTTAGTTTATAGATGATTTTTAACCCTTAGTCTTTTGGTCGACTGACATATGTTTACAAGACGTTGATCTAGAGTGCTTCTTATGGATCTATTGTTGTTTCCGGTCATGAGGTTTATGCAATCTATGTTCGTTAATAAACATAACGATGCTTTTGTCAATAACTTTTCTCATTGAGTTTTCTTTGCTTCAGGGTTTTTTAGAAACGGTTAGATTTAACTTAATGATAATGATTATGTATTTCCCTCATGCTCAATAAACGATGGGTTCAAATTTGAATATGATAGAATTATCCCCTCAAACATTGGAAAAAGCATTTTTAGAATTAAACGAACAACCGCAACAACGACAGAATGCCATTACTGAGTTAAGACATCGTATTCAGTTACAAAGTAAATCGGTTTTATTTGTCAGTTTGGTGTTTTTCACAGAATTTATTGGACATTTACGTTTGTTTGTTTTATGATTATTATGATTGTGGAGAAGGAGGCTTGGTTATTGTTTTTGTGATGTTATTGCTTAACTGGAATTTATATTAATCTTTTTAATGGTAAAGTCCCCTGTTAATATTTAATGCACTTTTTCGTCTGAATTGATTCTGCCTGGTCAAAGTATTTTAAGGGATTGTCGCCTGGATATTGGATTACCGAAAAGGTTGTGACTAAGATAGACAATATGTACTATTGTTTTTGCTGTTCATTGATTGCAATTTCGAATTTAAGTTTTTCTTGCTGAAGTTCCTCCATTTTAGCAACAGTAAAAAAACGCTTTCCTCGTACTGGTTTATTCTTTTAACATTTACTTTTCCCCCTACTCCCAAGAGAATTGTAAGTGTATTGGCAGCTAGTTAATAGTCAGTTAGTAGTGACCACTTCCATATTTGGCACTACATAGGGTTCATTCATTATAAATATGTCAATCCTACAGAATGTCAGTTACTGCCGTTCATTAGGCTGACACTAGTTTGGCTGCCATATGTAGCACCAGTCCCCTCAAGATTACATTCACGCCTTACTGACGAATAACAACTATCACGAAACCTTGATTCAGAATAGTCTTTCGACTACTTCCGAATGCCCAATATGTTTTAAAGTAATAATTGTTGATCTAGTCAACCGTTTTCAATAAAATCACCGTTATGACAGTTGGTGTCCGGAATCTGATACTGATACACGGTGTGCTACGTGCTAACATCCACCTGACTACTTGAGCGAGAACACAAGAGTAGATGAGAAAGCATGTTGGGCTACCGAGTAAAATACATGAATATTTATATATATATAGCTTTACCACTTAGGAAACCAAGCCATTTCTTAACCAGTGGACGGTTGACGTTCTCATCAGGCTACTTCTGATTGGCTCTCTATAGCAACAGTAACTCGTATACTACGAATTTCACTATTAGATTAACTAGTGTGGTAGTGACTGAGGAATATAAAAGGAAATTTTTTATTTTTGTTAGCAAAGGAACTAGGAGTATCACGCAATACTATGAAGCCATACTTTTCGATGTTTTTTTTTTCATTAGGTTTACAAGGATGTCTGGCTGATGAATTTCTTCTACGTTTTCTACGTGCTAAAAAATTTAATCAGGATAATGCATTCAGACTATATACAAATTATTACATATTAAGATTACGCTATCCAGATATATTCAATGATTTAAGACCATCATTAGTTGAACACGTATTTCAAAGTGGAGTTGTATGTCGATTACCTCAACCAGATTCAGAAGGTAGAGCACTTATCTACTTTAGACCAGGTCTATGGAACCCTGCAGAATGGTCAACAAACGATATATTTCGTGCTAATGTACTTGTCATCGAAGAATTATTATTGGTAAGTCTGCGATATTATTATAGTTTAGTATTTGATACTTAATTATCTATAGTAATTATTTATATATTCTCCTATTTAGAGGTATATACATACAATTCTCTGTACATTCCCACGTTAAGCTCATAATGTCTTTGGGCTAACTATTCGTCAGTGTATCACTAACGAAAGGTCCAGTTTATCCGGATGAAACCAGTCTTCTATGTAAACTGTGAAATATTCAATCTCCATAATCCCCTTATAGTAATGAGAAGGTAATCATAATATTTATATACACAGACGGCTGAGGCACAATCATTAACAACAACCAATCATAGCCAGCATCTCAGATAAGACTACAACTTCACTCACTTCGACTTGCCCAGGAGAACAAGTATCCACTGGTTTCCACACTAAACCATGTGACCTAATCTTGGTTACACAAATATGTATTTTCTTAGCAAATTATAGCTTAATAAACTCTTCAGTAAGAATATGTAGTTTGATGCATCTAAATCAAATGTAACATCGACCGGAATTAAATTAGAATTCAAAATCTATCCTGTCTAACACTGTGCTTATGTTTCTGTTGGTTTGTCCTTCCTAGTATTATTTCCCTTGAACTATAGTTGAGTTAAGTACTGATTTCTTGTTCGGTTTTATTTAGCATATTAAAACAATTTTACGTTATCATCTACTCACAATAATGTTGTATGATTTATTTTTACTTTCTTGACCGCATGCGTACAATTTGTTGTATTGTTACGTAACACGTCTTCTTAATTTGTTACTGATCATTCCAACCAACATTTAACTACTGGGTTGGTCAATTAACTAGTTAAGTGCGTTTCGTTTACTAATGCTCTGTTGATGGTGCCTTTTACTGGAAAATAAGGTGTGTTTTTGATGACAGTATACTTTACTGATGGTCTTCAGCAATTGTTGAATGACCTTGCGAAGGAAAATCCAATATATAGTCATTCATAATACTGTTGATATGAATGAATAATTCCCTGCATTAAAACCCAAAATCGCTAATTTTAGGATTAGAAGTTTCAGTCGGAAATTAAGATTAATAGTTTAGAATAGAATGGTGGAATACTTTGTAACCACGTGGATAAATGGTCATACACTTAATCTCTTTGATTGAATGTATCAAAAACACTTTAGTCGCCTGCAAAAGATTCATCAGTTATGGTGTCTATTTAAAATGGTGACGGAGATTTGTAGCTCACGTGGATGATTTTGATGAAGTTTTGTTCTTTGAGCCGGATGGTTTGGTCATGGAGCTTTCATTGTTCTTCCGAACAATATCATTAGCAAAAACTTCATGCAGAAGTTAAATATTCACATATGACTCACAACTTGTTCTGTTCATCTTGATCTTGATTAGTTATTGCTGACTTTCGACTTGTCACGACTTATCACGACCAAACCATTGAGGTCAATGAGCAAAACTCCACCAACAATAAATATAATTTCCGCTTACGCTAGTTACAAAAAATACTGACCGGTTAATATCAACTAATACTGTTGAAGACAGTTGGGTATATATATCTTTTTTTCGATTTTGCTGCAATATATATAGGTTACTAGGTATCACGTACTGGCTTTGTTACATAATTTGGTAATCAGGCATGATAAAGTAAAAGAAACAGTCAGTCAGTTAGTCACAACGTACAACCTGGTACATATGTACATCGGTTCAAGTTGCCCCATTAGCAAAGAGAGATGTTATCAAGACAAATCCCAGAATAACAGGTGTAGTAACAGTATTAAAGCTAATAGGAAAGATTAGGCATCAAAGGTAAGGTTCGAGAACAAAATATAAATCAGTGAAATAAAAACAAAAACAAGTTGCGAGGGATTTAAAATCCCAGGATTTGGGGGAAGAAAATGAACAGATGCACTCGCACCATTGCAAACGATTTCGAGCCGTGTCATTCAAAGTCTCTAACCATTGCTTACGATAATCACAATGACCCCGACCAAGCAGTCTGTATCTATTAACTTGGCTAAGTCGAACTGTCAGTGACTTCATGGGCTGATGGTTTGGCCGTCCCTAGCTTTCTTTCGGACTGCTTCTGCTCCATAAAACCGCGCGTTGAGAATGACGGTGGTCGGACATACGTAATGTATGTCCTAACCACCTCAGTTGATGAAAATTTACTACCTCATTGATCGATTTGCAATCTTTACCTAGTACTCTATTCCTAACTCAGGTATTGCTTACTCCACGGTCTGAAATTTCACGAACAGTGCTTCGTAAAGACCTATAATCGAATAATAGTAACCTACGAATATCCTCTTTTAGTGGCCATATCTCACATCCATAAAGTAGAACACAACAAATTGCTACGTAGTGAACTTGTCGTTTGCTTGACGGAAGGATATCTCACCTTCTCCACAAGCGGAGCAAGTTGGCAAAAGCCGATTGAGCCTCCTGAATTCGTGCTGAGATTATGTTAGGCACCAGACCATCAGGAACGATGAGACTCCCAAGATAGGTGAGGAGGTCGACGCGCTCAACTACTTCACCTCCTATCACTAATTCGGGTGATGACGCAGGCGAATCCCGAATTAACATTTTCCATTTGGAGGGAGAGAACCGCATCCCGAACATGCTTGCTTTGTTGCTTAAGGTGGTCACAAGACTGCATCTTGTCAGCCTCTTCAGCAAACACAACTAAATCGTCTGCGAATTCTAAGTCAGCGAGTGAATCTCCTGGTAGAAAATCAACCCCTGGAAAGTCACACGATCAGTATTGCCGCCAAAAGAATGTTTATGACAAAGTTAAATAACAATAAAGAAAGCGAACAACCAAGTCGAACGCCACTTGAAGTGACCAATTCCGACATTTCACCATAAGCTCTGACTCGACCAGAAGTGTTCGAGTAGAGATCCTGTACAAGGTCAATGTACATCTTTGGTACACCTTTCAAGACAAACGCTGCATAGAGCCTCACGATCAACAGAGTCGAATACTGACTTAAGGTCAATAAATACAACTATAGTAGGGCTTCGGAAAATATGTCTATGTTCCATAATCTGCCGAAAACTGAATATCTGATTTATACATCGACGTCCAGGTCTGAAACCGGTCTGGTTTTCTCAGATTTGCTCTCTATGAGCTCCAGTGAGACGTCGAAGTGTTATTGGGGCCAATATTCTAGACACCATACTAGTTAAACTCATTTCTCTGTAATTGTTGCAAGAGGAGTTTTGTCCGTTCTCATAAAGTGGAACGATCAGCGATTGAGACCAGTCAGATGGGATTAAGTGTAGTTCTCAGATTGTAGATAAGATTTTAGTTAATCTAGCCGCCAAAACTGGATCACTATCCTTAAAAATCTCAAGGGTTAGTACACCAGACCCTGCTACCCTCCCTCGCTTTAGATTACTTATAAACTTTTCATGCTCACTAAGTGTTGAAGGACTTACATCAGTTTCCCATTCAGGTTGCTTTGAGATAGTGGGTAACTGAAGTGTGACTAAACGCTAGTTGAACTGTCCCCTAAGGTGTTTAGTCCTTCATTTCGGTCTTCTGAATTGAGAGTGAATAATGATGCCGCCTTTTTGCGAGATGTTTTCATTAACAGACGAAGTTTTAATATGCGTTTCCCCGACATTCTGAACAGTTGTTTAACGTTACCTATCGCTGCTGCCTTTTCACATCTCTTCTGCTTTCTCCACCTACCGCTGCTCACGATCATTGCTTTGGCTTTTTATCAGCCTACCTTTAGGATTCCTCTGAATATTAATGAGTTCAAAGCCAGATGAGATGAATTTTCTATCATCTATCAGTTCTGTAGACGCCACTGAGATCCAGCGTTCTTTTCCTAACCTTTCTTGGTTTAAGTTACTAGTAGATATCACTGCTGTTTCCACAGCCTTTTGGATACCCTACCAAGGTACCTCGGGGTAGATGTCATTTTGGCGGTTGACTAGCTCCCTCCATAGATGTTTCTGAAATATATTATTAATTTTTTTATTACTAAGTTAGACTCTCAGGTTTTCTTGATGTGGCTGTTCTACATCCAGTAACACTCAGATAAATGCGTGTTCAAACTAGCACATGATCTGAGTCTAAACTTGTGCTCCAGAATGGGTGACTGTCTTCAATAGAATCCCTCCGACGATAGCTAATGGCAATGTGATCTATATTAGTCCATCGATGAGTCTATTGTGGGGGTCGCGACGTCAGAAGATGTTTCTCTTGATGTTTTAAGTTGGTCGTTCACAGAAATGGAAGGTTATCTGAGCGTATTTGCAACAGACAGTCGTCATTATCTGTTCGTTCGTCTGCAACACCGTAAAAAATCCGCCTAATTTCTTTTCAGTTTAGTTTAGTTTACCTACTTGAGCATTAAAATCACCTACTACTGTCTATTGGGATCCAGTCTAGGAGTGCCTGTTCTGATGTAGGACTTAATGCTATACCTACACCAGTGAGGCCACATGAATCAGCAGTGAGATCTGCAGATAATCAAAGGGTAAATCGTGTAGGTTCTTTATATTGACAATCTGAGGCCAAATGAATGACTGTGCTTGGATCCTGTATGCGCATTTTGGAGGCGCAGCATACATCGGTGGTTCGAGATTCTAGAGTGCTAGCTAACGAAGCCTGTTGTCCTATCTTACGCAAAATTTGAGCATTAAAGACTCCAACATGTAATTTGAAGTGCGGTTTCAAGAGATCAGGAATAACATTTCGTGAACTCAAATCATTAGCACTGGTGGCGCGTGGTGATAAATATAAATGAGAGTGGTTGGTCATGTGGATGGAAGAATTAATAAGAAGTGAGGAAGGGATTCTATCGTCGACAAGATGATCTCGGGTGTTGATAGAAGTATTTGGGAGGTCGTCACTTCCGGGTTGCTCACACCGTGGAGGGATATTTCTTCCTAAGGGATCTGAAAAGGAAGCCAAATTAGTGGTGCTCTTGGCGGCATGGGAGCGTGACCACAGAGCCAAAAGGATAACTGTTTAAGGCCGGTCGCGCACGGCTTTTTTGACGAGTTATTTCCACACTTCTGAAGACCTTACTACCGGAGAGAGAAATCTGTGGGTTAGGGTGAGGTGTGAAACTTTTACGGTCGACCTTTTCCAACTCTTCCGTTGTGCGAAGGTAGTATCGCCGCAAATGCTAGTAGTCCAAGAGAAACCCCTTACTGATGTTACACTCCTCTACAGTTAGTAATACGACCTCGCCGTCGGGCCTTAAGTTGCCGCTTTTAGTCTTATCATTCTCCAGCCAACCTTCCTGGCATAGTAGTTCGTAAAGGAACATGTGTTTTAGCCGATATAGCTCGGTCGAGTCATCACGACAGACTAGCCTGACCATCACGTTAAGGTCTCAGCTACGTTCGAAAAGTACAAGGAATACAACAGATAACCCTAATCCTTTTTCAAAACACTAGAAATGACAAAGAAAAATCACTGAAGTTTATCACAATTCAAATCGACTATGATACAATGTGGATATTTATAGAAAATACCGAAGCATGCTTAAGATATGAGTTCAGCGCCATTTAGTTTTGAAGTTCAAGCGTACAGTTAAAAAGTTCCGAAACAATGACTTCAAGAACTTCTTTACCAACTGATTCCGGTTGGATTTTTCGGGAGTATTTCATTTTTCAATAATTAGTAATCTTAATTTGTAAGAAAAATGTCATCTGTATTTTTATACATTTTATGTTACATGTTTATTTATCATTTCATTTCTCTTGTCTTCTGTTTAGTCTTGGCCAGCTGTACAAGTGCATGGAGTAATAATTCTAGTGGACCTATCAGGCTTTTCCTGGAGACATGCCATTAATTTAGTGTCTCCTTGGTTTCTACATCGAGCAGTACATTTTTTACAAGGTTCAAGTCCTGTACGAGTAAAAGCTGTCCATATTTTCAATAGTCCTTATATGTTTTCTAAAATATATTCAACATTAATACCTTTGTTAAAACCGAAAAATCAAGCACGTGTAAGTTTTTATATATATATATTCTGAATTCAAACTATACTCCCAATGACTCTTGATTTAGCTACTAAATATTGAGAACAAAAATAAAGCCAGACGTTTCAGTTTTACTCCAACCAGCGGCGACTTATGGAAAACATTAGGGCATTTACAATTTTTTAAGGTTTTTCTCGAAGAATAACTACTGATAATTTCAATTGCATCCAGCTATGCTTACAGGTTTTAGAAATTCAGATTACTATTTGTAAAACTGGTGGAACGTCTTGGGAAATAGTACATTTCCTAACACAGGCTTCCGTGGATAAGTGACCAAGTATCTTCTTCAAAAAGTATACTTTCTTATTAATCCTTATCCTCTTACCTCATATCCGAAGGTTTAGTGATAAATAGCATGAAAACGGATTGGAGTTTGGATGTGACCCGAATATAAGACATCATCTAATGACGTTATTGATTAATTTACATTGGGAATTTTAGACTCACAAGATAATTTTAAGTTGAAGATGTTAGGTAACTTGCCTCTTTCCTTTTGAACCTTACGTACTGTCTATTATCACTATGAACGTTATTATCAATTATATTTGTTCTATTTTGTCATTAATGTCTGTTTGGTATGAAACTTAACGATTGTAAACTAAGTCGTATCATACTTTGGTTGTCACCCTATCACTAACCGTTATATTTCTGGATTAGCCAATAATTTGTCAATCTGCAATACCTAATTACCCACTTAATAGTTCTGTCGCATTCAAGTGCTTTGAATTTTTACAGTTATCGTGTATCTAAACTATAGTAAACAACATGGGCAGTATTTTAAGAAAATGATTTTAAGTAATACTCTGTAATCTATTTTTTTTGTATGGTTATAATAATTTCGATGTAGCTTCTGGTTATTAAATACACTTTTCAGCTTATAAATCATTTTCACTATTGTGTGTACAATCATTGTCTTCACAATGGTTATTGTTGTAAATTTTAAAAATGTAAATGTTTCGCAGTGTTTTTTTAAATCCATTATTTTATAATGTACTTTCTCAGAATACATTTTCTGTTTATCACTGCCGAGAAACACAATACAGAGTTTTTCATACACCGCAAATAGTCGATGACTAGTTACTAAGTTCAATTAACCTTTTTGTCAGTATGATCAAACGTTTAAACTTCACTTTACTGACTTTGATTTTAATACCCGATTAATATCGTCAGCTTTTCACACGTAAATTATAATTTAAAGTCGATTACATGAAGTCTGATTGACATAGTGAATTTTCTGAATATTGATAGCAGTTGAGTAGTATATTGTTCAATGAAAAATTTGATCATCGATCAACCGACTGTTTCATTCAATATTCAATGTAAAAGATGGTTATAAGCATGTTTAGTTGTAATCACAGTTTATCATTATTACGTGAGATTGCTGAACTTAGAAATGATATTCGGAAATATTTGTAACAATCGTATCATGTTGAGAACATTTGTTCATCTTTAAAGAACCAAATTAAAATCAGACTATTCAATCAGTTGGCGTGAATTCTTTTTCAATGTCTATAAGGGTCTGTTAATTGGTAGCCAGCCAGTACCTGAATCTATACACAAAATACCTTAGTGCTATTCAAACTTTGTCTATCTATTATAAATAATCTAATTATTATAATGAAGAAAGCGTTCAAATTATTGACCACAATATTACTTACTTACGCCTGTTACTCCTCGTGAAGGAGCATAGGCCGCTCACCAGCATTCTCCATTCAACCCTGTCCTGGGCAATCCTTTCCAGCTCCTCCCAGTTGTTATTCATCTTTTTCATATCTGCTTCTATTTCCCGACGTAATGTGTTCTTTGGCTTTTCTTTTTTCCGCTTCCCTTCAGGATTCCAAGTTAGGGCTTGCCTCGTGATGCAGTTTGACGATTTGCGTAATTTATGTCCTATCCATTTCCATCATCTTTTCCTAATTTCTTCTTCAGCTGGAAGCTGGTTTGTTCTCTCTTACAGTAGGCTCTTACTGATGGTATCCGGCCAATGGATGTTGAGTATCTCGCGTAGACAACTATTTATAAATACTTGTACCTTCTTGATGATGATTGTAGTAGTTCTTCAAGTTTCAGCTCCGTACAGTAGACCTGCCTTGACTTTGGTATTGATGATCCTCACTTTGATATTGGTTGAAAGTTGTTTTGAGTTCCATATGTTCTTCAATTGTAGGAATGCGACCCTTGCTTTGCCAATCCTCGCCTTTACGTCTGCATCTGAACCTCCTTGTTCATCGGTGATGCTTCCCAGGTATGTGAAGGATTCTACATCTTCCAGAGTTTCGCCATCAAGTGTGATTGGATTTCTGTTCTTCGTTTTGAATTTGAGGACCTTGGTTTTTCCCTTTGTGTATGCTGAGGCCTACTGATGCAGAGACTGCTGCTACACTAGCTGTCTTTATCTCCATTTATTCATGTGTATGCGATAGGAGGGCTAGGTCATCTGCGAAGTCCAAATCGTCTAATTGATTCTGAGCTGTCCATTGTATTCCGTGTTTTCCTTCAGATGTCGAGGTCTTCATAATCCAGTCGACCACCAGAAGAAAGAGGAAGGGAGAGAGTAGACAGCCTTGTCTGACTCCGGTCCTTACTTGGAATGCATCTGTCAGCTGTCCTCCATGCACTACTTTGCACTGTAGTCCGTCGTATGAGTTCCGGATAATATTGACAATCTTCTCAGGAACTCCGTAGTGTCGAAGAAGTTTCCATAATGTCCTCCTATTTACACTGTCGAATGCCTTTTCATAATCAATGAAGTTGAAGTACAGTGTTGAGTTCCACTCAATCCATTGTTCGACGATGATCCGTAGTGTTGCAATTTGGTCTGTGCACAACCGATCCTTCCGGAATCCAGCTTGTTGATCTCGAAGTTGGGCGTCTACTGCATCCTTCATCCGGTTCAGCAACAATCTGTTGAAGACTTTCCCTGATATTGACAGTAGTGTAATGCCTTTGTAGTTTTCACATTTGCTCAGATCTCCTTTCTTTGGAATCTTGATGAGGTGTCCTTCTTTCCAGTCCATCGGCACTTGTTCCTCCTCCCAAATCTTTTTGAATAGAAGGTGAAGCATGCTTGTGGTTACTTCGATGCCTAACTTCAGCGATTCAGCTGGTATGTTGTCGGGTCCTGGTGCTTTCCCGTTCTTGATTTGTCTGACGGCCATTCTAATTTCTTCCGTAGTTGGTGGGTTGACATCTATAGGAAGATCTATGTGTGCTGCTTCGATGTCTGGTGGATTCATTGGAGCCGGCCTATTCAGGAGTTCCTCGAAGTATTCCACCCATCTGTTCCGTTGTTGTTGAATTTCGGTGATTTTCCTGCCTTCTTTGTCTTTGACCGGCCTCTCTGGTTTACTGTATTTCCCTGCTAGTTTCTTCGTTGTACCGTGAAGCTGTTTCATATTTCCTTCTCTAGCAGCTTTTTCTGCCGTCGTTGCTAATTCTTCCACGTATTTCTTCTTGTCGGCTCTAATGCTCCTCTTCACTTGCTTGTTTGCTTCTATGTATTCAGCTTGTGCTTGGATTTTTTCTGCTCGTGTTCGGCTATTGTTAATTTCTGCCTTTTTGTTCTTCCTTTCTTTGATCTTGTCCAGTGTTTCTATAGAGATCCATTCCTTATGCTGGTGTTTCTTTAGGCCCAGAACCTCTTGACACGTTGAAGTCAATGTTTCTTTGATGCCTTTCCAGTTGTCCTCCATAGTAGTTTCTTCTTCCTTCAGTAGATTTTGAAAGGCTTGGAACCTGTTGTTGAGAGCTATCTTGAATTCATTGAGTTTGTGAGTATCTCGAAGGAAGGCTGTATTGAACCTTTGTAGTTCTGTTTGTCCACTTGTCCAGTTCTTTTTTAGCTTCAGTTTCAAATTGGCTATAACTAGGTGGTGATCTGAAGCTACGTCAGCTCCTCTCCTGGTTCTCACATCTTCCATTGTCCTTCGGAAATTTTTATTGATGCAGATATGATCTCCGGTGAGATCCATGTAGCCTTGTGTATACGCTTGTGTGGAAATATTGTGCCTCCTATGACCAGTTTGTTGAATGCACATAGATTTGCAAATCTTTCTCCATTTTCGTTTCTTTCTCCCAGTCCTTGTCGTCCCATAATATCTTCATATCCAGTGTTGTCTATTCCGACTTTGGCATTTAGATCTCCCATCAGAATAGTTAGGTCCTTTCTTGGACATTTCTCTATGATTGACTGCAGCCGCTAGTAGAATTGATCTTTAATGTCGTCGTTGCTAACATTGGTGGGTGCATAACATTGGATAATATTCATTGTGATTCCCTCCTTCTTTGTTTTGAATGATGCTTTGATGATTCTGGATCCGTGAGATTCCCATCCTACAAGTGCATTTCGTGCTACTTTGGACAGCATAAGAGCGACTCCCTGAGTGTGTGGAGCATTTTCCTCTTCGTGACCGGAGTATAGCAGCATCTCTCCCGTATTTAGCTTTTGTTGTCCAGCGTGAGTCCAGTGGGTTTCGCTGATTCCCAGTACTGTCAAGTTGTATCTCCTTATTTCCGTTACTATTTGACTGGTCTTCCCGGTCTCCCACATTGTTCGGACGTTCCATTTGCCTATAAAAAATTATGCTCTGGTTGTTAGAAGGGGCTTCGGCCTCGTGGCTTCCGAAGGAACTCGCCTTTCACCATGAAGCGTCATAATTCTTCTAAATGAGGACGTTTTAACTCCCAGGGCAGAGTTTAAATGGTTTGGATTATTTTTTCTGGTAAGCGTTTTTTTAGCGAGTTAGTTTTCCACGGGATGGGGTCACTAACCCCATGCCCAATCCTCCTCCTTTACCCGGGCTTGGGACCAGCAGTAACTCTAGAAGAGCTACAGGCGGAGTTGACCACAATATAGCTGATCTGAATTTAAAACTTAAATTTTACATTATTAATTGTCATTTCATGATTGATTGTTTCTGGAAAAGTGTTTCTTATTATGACTGTCAATTATGCACACTTCATCTTATACCAGGAGAAACCGACCCTAACCAACATTTTTTTAGTTCCTAACTTTCATTGTACTTACGGAAATAATAATTTATGTAAAAAGTCTATTTGGTATTTGTTATATGAAGCTAATCTGTACATGGAGCCTGGAAGGCAACTCACGTATTTGTGAGTTATACCTTATTGAAACTGGGATTTTCCTAAACAATTATTAGTGTTATCAATATTGGGAGGTCTAATGACTTTACAAGGATAAATGATTTATACTAAGTAAAATGTTTATTGTGATAGATTAGTGAATTTAAAGAAAATATTCAATGTCATAATCTCTAGATCAGAGCGGTATGTGATGGCTTCTTCCAACAATTATACATTTCATTTGTCAACACACTTTAGTAAATACTGATTAATAAAACATCGTTATCTCAATAAGAATTTTTACTTACTTTCATTTCTGATATAAAATTTACGGAACACGACAGTAACGACTACTTTTAACGGTGTTCGATACTGCCACAAACTCATATAGTTTAGTTGACTTAAATGTACAAACTGAGTCAAGGAAATTGTGTATGCAAAATTAAAATCCATTTGATTAGCATTCAATATTTATTCGTTTTAAATGACCGACGTGCATTTTGACGAAGTGAAAATATTGATGTAATTTACTTTAAAGTACAAGTTTGTGTACTCAATTTTGAGCCGGTAAGTTATTGCTGTAAGTGATTTAAAGCAACTTCTAACCTTTTACTTAGTTGCTATAGAGATGACAATAGATGGGTGTTTGTGAAAAGTTTGAACCAACCCTATCAGAATGATAATAAAACTAAGGGTGAACAAACCGGAACGTGGCATCACTCCACGTATTCGTTGACTTGACCTAAGCTGTGTTAACACATGGCGACTACCTGGCTATCCACTACATGATAACCAGAATCAGTAGTTCAGGACAGTGAGTGATATGGTTGACAATCGGTCACAATGGTGAAGATGAATTAATTGTTTATCTTACTATCAGTGTCCCTTCTCACATATCTTTTTTCCTGTCTTTTCAAACTATGCTCTCAGTGTTTAGTCTTTCACATTATCATTGTTTTTACAGTTATTTCGATCATTTATCCACTCATTTTGTTCATTCCACCTCATATTACGGATCTGGTGTGGCAGTTTGTGCTTATACGCATTTGTTCCAGGCTCTACGTTTATCATAATGACAAGTAGTAGAATAAAAGCAGAGTAATTTATCTATGGATAGATAAAAGTCTATTGGGACTTTGATACAACAACATTACATTTGTTCCTATAACTAAACTCAAAATACAAGAAACATTTTTTGTGTCTCTAGAACGTGCAAAATTCATCAATAACGTCTCTAAGCACCTTCATATGAAGTATGGAACAAAGTGACATTTTGAAAAATAACAAATTAAGCGATAAGTAAATCAAGGGTAGAATGCTAAAGCACAGAGCATAGATGTGAGCTAAGTAGTAGATTTATAGCGAACAAAATTAAAAGTTCAAACGGAGACATATTCAGTGTTCAAAATTTCAAAAATCAACTACGCTTACTGACGTATTTCATACCTTGTATTAGTTTTATTTGAACATTGTTTAAGTGAAATTAAAACAATTTAATATATCAGTATGGGGATTTGTGGCGATTGTAGTATGTTCACAGTTGTATATATACTTTTTATATAAACAGTGATGGGATTAGACTTATTGACTACTTTGTGATAAGTTTATCACCGAATAACCAGTTTTGAACAATTCAACGTACATTTAATACACAAGCACAGTTTTTAATATTAGTATCCAATGCACTAACAGAATTTATCAATCAAATTGTTCTTATAAATTAGTCAATTCACTAGTATGGTATACGGGTTTCGCGTCTGAGTTAGACATTATGACTAATTAGAAGGTAAAACGCTTATTCTCGTCACTGTTTTCTAAATTTCTTTACTTGTATCCCGAGACTAATGATTACTATTTATTACACAATCATAGGTTGTTATGCACAATACATCATTAGAAAGTCTTCATGCTGCAATCCCTCCCCATCTACTCCCATGTAATGGTGGTTTAAACGGAACTGGACCTCCAGTTCCATCACCTGTACGTTTTTATTTACGTTATTATTTATTTTACTCGGTTATTGTTATTATCATTTAAAGTGGTAAACTTATGGAAATTAGGCGCTCACTGCGATACTTGAAGTTCCTGTTTGCAATTACTGTTGGGGTCGTGGATACATACTACAGATGAGTCCCATACTAAAATGAAATAGCTGTCCAGTGTTTCCTGTTTTCCTGTAGTTATCTAATCATTATCACTGTAATTTGAAACTTCAAATTCAACACCTTATGATAACATTTATCCTGTGCTTACTAGGGAGCTAAAGTACAAAATACTTTACTATTCTGTCTGTCTAATAGTGAATGGATCAACACGTTATTTGTGTGAGCTTTCGATTTAATCACGTAACTGTTTATATCAACGAATGTAAATGATAATTTAAATACATTTACCTCTCATTATTCAATATATCATGAAAGTTCATTAGTTAGTTGGTATTCAGATCAATTTTAACATAAATTATTTATATGCAACATAAGCTCATTTGAATAAAATCATTAGAAAGTATAAAAAATATAATTAATTTAATTCAGAAGTTCTTCACTAAAAGTCCATTTTCCAAGGTGGCGTGCTTGAATATCTGGGTTAAATGTTCTTGCCATTTGGATATTTCAACAAGTTATTTGTTTTAACATATCATTATGTCTATTAGTCTCATAACCTATTCAGATGCGTTTGTAAAAAGTGTAAAACCTTTCGTTGTACAAGTTACGAAACGCCCAATCAGAGATATCATGGTTGTTGGTAATATGCAGCGAAAAGAATGTACATTATATCGATGTCGATTGACTGGATAGCTAACTTCTAGCTGACGACCACTCAGTATTTATCGCAAAGATCGATCAAGAAATAAGAAAACGAAACTTGCTGAAATACTTTATGCAGAGAATTCTATAACGTACCAAAAATATTATATTGAATAAAGCCATTATTAATAATAATATTAGTAATGATAATAAGATTTACAGTTCAGAGATATAAATAATTTATCAAGCAAACGTTTTGTGTTTTCAGATTTGAATGTAACTTAATGATAATACCTAATTTTCCAAACTAAATTATTCGAAGTGGGACTTCAACCTTTGTTTAAATAGTTGAACATCGAGTATCTTGTTAAACATTTAAAAATATTATTCAATAGATAATGTACGGCTGGATGTCATGATTTTGGAGAATACAGTTTCAATTATCTACGTTCAGTTTTTCTAGACTGTTGTGAAATATTTTGTGCAGTGCAACAAAGGATGAGTTTCGATAAAATCTGACTGCCTTTTTTCAGAAAGATATATTTCAGAATACCCAGCTTATATGACACTGAGCACTGCGAAAGCTTTTTTACAAATTAAAAACTTTTCTCTGTCTGCTCCATATGAACTGATGTTGTCATTAATGAATGGAATTATGCTTTGATGTAGCCTCTTCTAGCTTAATTCTATCCGGATTAGCATAAAATGACAGATTAGATACTACATAGGAGTGCTTAAAACAGTTATATTGGTATGAGATAATACAGAACACAATCACATTAATTACTACCACCACCACCAATAATAATAATAATAATAATAACAATTTTATTTTTCTACTAAGTTATCAACTACTGTGCTCATTCTTCCTCTATTATTATGTATTTTTTTTATTTTCAGGAATATATCAATGGTTTATTAAACTTGGAAGATTATTTCATTGAAATGAATAAATATCCATATCATATTAATAGCATATCTGAAATGTGAACAATTGATAATCTATAAACCGTTTATTTGTAAATTATATTATTTGTCTATGTAGATTATTATCATTATGTTACTTATTTTTTAAACGGACATATATGTGATATAAATATATTTCATGTGTTCTTCTCTTATGTACACTCACTCATTCATCATCTGATCATATTGATATACGTATAGTTTATGTTTAATGTTTAATCTTTTTGTTCACTGATCCGTTTTATTATTATAAATGACAATGACATAACAGATATATGGAGAGTCTTTCAAATTTATATTCAGTGTTGACTTTTGTCTCCTGTTTTTCTACTTTCACTACTAATTTCTCGAGAATATATTCATTTTGTTTCAGTCTTATTTTTAATGAATAATGTGACTCCTATGTTAAGTAGATCGATGTGAAGATTATTATTCGGACTTTTCTTAAGGTAAATACTTAGAGTAGATAGATAAATAGAAAAAGTTAGATTCATCTCAGCGTCGTTCTTATGGATTGATGTAATTTAAAATCTAGTTATATTCCCCTTTTCCCAATAAACATCTGAATGAAATAATAAGGGAGGAAAGCTATTCATACTGATCCGAATTTTTAAAATCATCTCAGGATGTTCTTATCACGTTGTTTCGGTTGTCTGTTAATTATTTGGGATTATTAATTAGGTTGGTTACTTAAAGCGTATTTTGTTTGAATTTTTTTTCTTTCTACCTAAGTAATTCTTGTACTAACTAAACCAGGCATAATTATGTGCCTTGAATAAACTTCTGGATAAACAGTTCCAATATTGATAGCTTTAAAATATGGATATGGATTAGCTATCAAAACTTTCATGGAAATTCGTGTATATTGGTTTGTTTTCTTGAAGATTGATTAATAATACAGTGTTAATATATAACCGTTGTAGTTATTACACCATAAAACGACAAATTTGTAAAGAAGATCATACTTAGGTTTTTTATTACAACAGTTTACAAAATACGGATTAAGTCACTAAAGACTGTTTGACTTATAGTGTAATTAAGAGTCAGTCGAACATACAATACACACATTAGTTCAATGCTTACTACTAATTAATAACTATTTATATTTGAAACATTCAGGGAATTCAGTTGATATGTTCCTTTTCAACATAGCCATTCTAGAATATGTTCAAAGATATGATCCATTACCCATTACTTTTACTGTTTACTGAATTCAACTCAATATACTGGTTGTCGATTGATAACGAAAATGTTTATGATTCTGCGTACAAATTGTATGAGTAAGAGTGTGATATATGAGATAGATCTGCTATTAGCGATCATACAAGTGGTTCGCGTCAATTTAAAGCACCTTTAACTCTGTTGCCATGCTAATCTGTTAGTAAAATATCTGACGTACAACTTTGAGGTGTAAACAGAGTTCTACTACAATTTACATGAAAACCTGATTTTTCGAATTGACGATACCTGAAAATGATTGTTGTTCACAAATTCCTCTCATTGAGTGACAATGTTGTGTACTAAACACTGATTTTCAACATTATAAGATGAATTTTCAGTTAATAGTACCTGTATGAAACACTGACTTATTCAAACTGTACGCATAATACATCGTCAACTTTCATTTCAGTTACTGTTTTGTAATATAAGGTGAAATAAACTTACAAGTGGTTAGACTATCACTTCTTGATGTGCTGATCTAACAGTCGTTGCTTCATAAGGATTATACAAAATGTGAATCTTAAATATCCAATGTCTTGTGGATTTTTTCACATTCAATAGTTTATAGCAGCTCACATGCATTTGAGTTTGTTCACATTTAATTTGGTCAAGCTCTTTTGTTAACTTATTTAACGGACAAAGTCATCTGTATAATAACAACTTATCTATACCGTTGTACCGGTATTACTGTCGCGCTTGTATAAATATGTATGCTTGAGCATCGCTTACTGCGTGGTGGCTATTCTAAATTCTACCGATTGACCAACTGCAGATATCTCAGTTCGACCTCAATACTGTTCGCCAATCTCCAATAAATCAGACCGTGAACCGTTGGGTGAAAATTGTTTATGGGGCCAGGAGAAGAAGAAGAAGAATACTTTACAGACAATGCATATTTATAAAGTTAGGAGGACCGTGAGTATTGACCAATAGGAAAATGGCACGTGAAACAAATATTGACCAATAGGAAGACGACGCCATCTCACGTTCAAGGATAGCATTAGACCTAACAGAATAATCTTTGGGATATTTTTATGAATATCCCAACAATTCTGTAAATTGGAAACTACATCAAAGTTGAATTAGTGTGATAATAACTTTAAAATTTCATTGGTTCATAGAAACTCTTCTGAAATCTTATTGACTATCAAATATCGATTTACTGAATAGTTATAAAGTCGATTGTAATATTTTTTGTTTGTTGAAAAATTCAATTTTTACAGCTGATTAATTTGGTTAACTGACATTATTTAAACTTAATAAATGATGACCCTAACTAAATTTGTAAAACGATTTTTAATTCGTACATACACTGAATGATATACAGCCGATTGTCATAGCCAAATCTTATGTATTAAGTACTTACTGTATCAATCAGTCTGCTACATTGGTTCATGATAAAAGTTAAACTCAGCCTATCTTAGTTGTATTCACATTTACGTCATTTAAGATGAATGACTAAATTTATGAAGCGTTCAATTATATTGGAATTGACATACATATCATAAACGGTACTGAATGGTGGTCGTGTGAAGTGGTTGACTGATCATAGGTTTGATTGTAGCTGATATCTTTGGTGCATACTACTGAAGGGACCCATTCTGTGACGAAACGGCTTTTAATTGATACTCAAAGTGATATCAAGCCATGATGAATATCCTATACAAGTTGAAAAAGATCTCTCAAAGGTACACATTGGTTTCAATATCATAACGTTGATAACTGGTTCGATCTGTTGTTCATCGAAATACTGGTTTTTTTTTTTACAAACTAACGTCTCTTAACGAATCACATGCAAGATGAAGATCACCTCTACTGTCACACTGGTACATTCTAGTAATTCCAGTTCAAGTGTGGCCAGAGGTAATAATGGTGGCAACCACATACAAAGGTCGTATTTCACAATAAATCGGTCCCTCAATAATGAAAAATGACAAACTCCTGTAGTTTTATAATAAGTTCTTTCAGTAAGACAGATTCAAAAGGGGATCTATTTTCTGGATTTAGTGTTGTTCTAATATTCTTGTCCAATTGTTTTATTATTATTCTCAACTATGATATCTTTTTATTGAATCTCACTTCAATTCTATTCGATAACTTTTTAAAAAAGTTTTCAGGCATGAGATATTTTTCTGGATTATGAAGAGTATTTTTCTAGTAAATACTGTAGGTTAGAGTGAATAATTAGTCTGCTCAATTACTGTCGGTATTTCAGATTGAACCAAATAATTCAGTTACATGTTATATGTTATATATCATGCATATATACATATATATTCCAGGATTTGTGATGATAGACATTTTTTACTTCTTGTAAAAGATGAATAGAAGAATGACCGATTAACAGCGTATAATGACTAACTTTTAACTGCCCATAAAATTGAATTATTAATGTAACACCTCGTCACCCAATCGAACTGTTATCCAAAAAGAAACACATCGCCAGCATAGTTTGTTTCTTTAGTGAAGTGATAACGTAATATACATAATCTTAAGAACAAATAATAAAATCTGACCATCAGGCTTAATTTTTACTTGTCATATCGATATGTATTGAAAGATAATCTGGGGACGCTTATAGTTAGGAAAACACCATTGTCAGAAGACTAGCAGTTTGATCCGAGGTTAGCTAAAAATATGTGCATCATTCAACCATGAAGATCATCTTTGATTGTATCACACCCATATATATCATGTTATAACGATGAATGTGAATCTCTTGGTGAAAAGTTGTTTAAAATGATGAAAACCGAATCCATACTGATGCATATAATTTGTCTAGACAAGTCACTATTTCTTTTCTGCAATAATTATCCAGAGTTTAATTTTGAACATATGCTATCGAAAGTATTTCATGATACTGTAGACGTAACAGATTTATTCAGAACAATCATACATAACCGAATATGTATTAAAAAACTGAAACGAGTCGAATTACAAATAATTATTAACTTTTCTACTTAAAATCCATTCTCAAAGATACTGGCTGAATCACCAGAGATATTATTATGGATTCATTTGGAATTTTACGGCAGTAGACATTTATGAAGTTGATGAATCCAACATTGGAATAAAGTAATAATTTACTAGTTTCTAATTTTTGATGATCCCATTCGTTGAATTCAATTTATGGAGAAAAGACTTTATAAACATAAGAGACGTACAAGCCAACTAACTAATTGAATTGCATTTTCATGTTCCAGATTATCCATATAATATCGTTAATATCTCATTTTCTAATGTAAGATTATCTCATAAGTGTGTACATTTTTAGTCACTGTTAATACAAAAAAATCGATGCAACTAGATAATTCGGCAATCAGTTTCAAAATAATCTTCATTATAATCAACCACTTTAACAGTTTTCAGTTTTTACAATTGATTGGTCACTTGACGGTGACCAGTGTCATATATTTTCAGTCCTTCTTGGTGCTATTCGAATTTTTTCGATTAATTTACAATATAGCCACTAGTCTAGGTGTCTCCATATGGCTGGTTGGTTGACTACCTCCAACCAAATAAAACAGGGTTTCCTGTCGACTACATGCAACCAACACCTTACACTTTGCCGGTTGCCTATTGTGATGATCCAATGCATCAACCAACTTACAAAATTAAGTAGAAAGATGTAAAGCTGAATACATCAAATGTCTGTTGTGATATATTTATTTTTCATGTTTAAACAGTATGAATGAAACAAATACCCCCTCCCATAAATAATCATCCCTTCCAGATAATCTGACTATCATTGGTTGAGATGAGAGTTTAGTGAACATAAAGCCTTAAGAATTGGAAACTTCTCTTGATTCATTGAATTTCACTAAAGGCAGTTTGATTGCATCAATAATGCGAAAACACGTAACGTCTCTGTATAATATGTTGGGAGAAATATATTCTATCTTGAAAAACGTAGAAAGAACAAGAGAGATCAGAAAAAAAATCATATTTATTTATTTGAATGCAAAAGTATTTGTACAAGAGGCACCGAATACATATGCGACACAAAAGTCACTTGATTTGTATGTGGGGTGTGATACTGCCCGGGTGCACAGACTGAAGCAGGTGGTTTTCTCAGGTGGCCACACCCCGAGCCTTCGACCAAAAAGGTCTGACCCACAAGGCAGTGGTGCAACGTCAGGAGATAGCCGGTGCCCAATAATTGGTTCATACGCAATTTGTTCCCTTAAGATCCTGAGGTCCATTTACACCATTGTTTTATAATCAGTGTTTTCCATTTCCCCAAGGTGGACCCTATGTGTCCACCGACGCTATTAAAGCGTTGGACATTCACTTTTTTTCCTGTCGATTTCTTAAACAACATGGTCTCACAAGATCTCAGTGAGCATGACTTCCCTGGTAGTAGCTGTATATGCGTAGCCATGTGAGAGCATTTGGATAGGGAGAGTTAACTCTTTACATCCTCAGCCGTACCAGGGCATTTGATAAATAACATTAAGCATCAGCTTTTGTTCTTTGCTTAATAGTTGACAAGATTTATTGAATGCTCAATCTTAAATTAATTATTTTAGCATTATTCATGATAATTTATGCATTGGCTTAATTTACGTTTTCTAACTGCAGAACAGAAGTACACAACATTTTCTTATTTGTGCAAATCATTAAAATTATTCCAACAACTAATTTAACTTTTTTTTAGAAACAAACATTTATAAATAATAAAACCAGTTTTGACCGGTATCTTCTTATCTCCTCGGTGTTTCTTTTTTTCTCTCCATGTTTATTAATGTGGCACTCATCAACAAAGCATACTTGTCTTGTTGTTTTTCAAAAAATAAACAAAGTTACATTTAATTTTTCCAAGTACCTGGATTTGTTTTACAAGGTATAGCTCTGTAAATATAAGTTGTGCTAATTATTTCATTAAAAAAAAAACACTTTTTTTCTAATAAGATAACTTTGTATAATGATGGAATTACGTATTGTTTGTCATGGTCAGGTGATGCTGATCATTTTTAAGGCAAAATCATTTATAGTTTACAGTGTACGGAATTTAATTAATTGTTAATACTTTCTGCTTTTCATCATACTATTTTTGTTTGTTTTTTTATTACATAAACTATGGTTATTGACTGTAAAATGTTTTCATTATTTCACTATTCTTTTTTGTTTTGTATCAGAATGGTTTGATGTATGAAAAGAATGGTGTGTGAAATTTATGATTAATTATTCGTTTCATAATTACAAATTAACTTTATTTATTCTTTATAACTGAATATCAGGAGACTATTCATGATGTGTTGATGAAGATCATGTTAACTATTGCAAATTGGACCTTAAATTAATTATTCAAGTACTTTAAATATTTAGACTAATATAGTACTATTTATCATTCATTCAACTTTGCGTAGTAATGAATGCTGATCATAAATAAATGATTGAGACAAAATGAACTCTCCGGTAGATGGAAAGCAGAAAAAATAAATACTACGTTAAATTATTTAAGTCTAAAGTTGATTAAAATTCAATCTTTCAGCTTATTAAAAAGAAAGATAAAACACATCTGATATCAGAATACATTTTAACATTCTCATCAGTCTCAATACAACTATTGACATTAGTTTTGTTTCATTTCAATGAAACATCATGTTAAGAGACCTAAAGTGAAATTCTTGTCTCTTACGGTTTTTCTAAAAGTTTGTAAAGATAATATTGTCTGTTGTTTAATATGTGGGTTTTTCCTCAGGAACACAAATATTGATTTTAGATTATCAGAAGTAATAATGACATCAATTTTAGGATCTTTGTCAGAGATTTATGCCTTAGTTTGTTCAATTTCTAATCAAACTCTCTCAATGATCTTTTCACTGAGAGCACATCGTATCGTTTGTACTATTTGACCGAGTAACTGCAAACCATTTCGTGATTGACAAACTTTTAATAAGCACTTAAAATTAAGGTATAATATTGATTAGCGCTCAAAATTCAGTTCTTATTTTGTACTTCTCTGATATCAATTTGAGTTATTTTTGTTCTTAAGTGTGAAATACATTGATAAGTGAATATATATTTAAATGATATATTAAACAATCAAATTATTCAGTTTTCTGATAGATTTTCATTGATCCTTTTTGAAAAAGAAAAACTATTTTAATTGATCGGTTTATAGAAATAAGAAATAACAACAAAATTAAAAACATAAATAATGTGATTAAGATGTATATTGATTTTCATATGGAAAATGAACTTGTTGCGATAGGCGGTGTCTGAAATCTCATACTGATACATGGTTTGCTACGTGCTAACCCCAAATCCACGTGACTACTAAAGCGAGAACGCAAAATTGAAAGAGAAAGCATGTTGAACTATCGAGTAAAATGCAATAATATTCATTTATATATGTACAACTCTACCCCTTGGGAAACCAATCCATTTTTAAGTCAGTGAAATGCACTTGTCCTTAAGGTCACTTCTGGTTGCCACCGACTAACCTTCGCGTTTGGCTACTACCACTACTACTAATAATAATTTTATATTCTGAAAAATAATAATAATTACAGAATTCACGCCAGTTTACAGGCATGATCAATTTGATATAAATAATAACGTTAGACGTGCAGAACAAACATGTGATAAAAGAAAGTTTTAAGTATACTAGTTCAGTAGTTGTTTAAGTAGTACATATATTACAGCGATCCAATGCATCAGCCGGGAATTTTTAATATTTCTTAAATGGACAGCCTGTTGATTTATGAACGGTGTAATTAAGGTCAATTCGTGTGCCAGATCGAAATAATGATAATTATCTACAACTAGAGAAATTAAAACGAAAACAGAGAGCACGGAACAACAAAAAAGTAATTACCAAAATATATCAATCAGGTCTACCTAAATGCGTGTGTCATGTGACACAGTGATATACTGTTTATGTTATTCAAATTAGTTAAAATTGCTAGGGGCGATGTTAACATATTGACAGCAAGTGGGTGGTTTTACTAAGGGAATTCACTTATAAAGATGGCTAAACATTTAAGGTTCCTAAAATATCACTTGTGGAATGAGTTACACTTGAAGGCGCTAGACCATTTAATGCATTTTCAGAGGAGCAGTATGCATCGATGCAGCGAACAAATAATGTGAGTGATTTTATCGTGCGGATAGATTGTGGTAGGTTATTTCAGAGTCTAGAAAATTTACAGGTGAAGTAATTCATATAAAGAGATTATTTAGAATGAGTTTGTTTCACCAGTGCCAAGGAATTACGGATGTAATAATGAGAGGTTTCTGCATATTGAATCGCGTGCTCGGTTGTAAACGATAGTTTATGAAGTAGTTTGAAGAAAAAGATAAAATTTAGTTTGAGTCTCCTCCTCCATAAAGGGTCTAGCCCAAGTTTATTACATCTAGAATTATAAGTTAAGGTACAATCAGCTCCAAGAATACGAAGTGTAAATCGTCTCTGTACTGATTCCAGCCTTAATTTATCCTTTATGAGCGCACTGCTAAGAATAAACGTGCAATATTCTAGAAGAGGTCGAGCACAAACTTTGTACATTAGAATACGTGACTCGGTATTGTAAAGGTTTCGAGTTATGTAACCTATTAGACGTTGAGACTTAGAGGTCTGTTTTCATATATGTTCTGTAAACGACAAGTCTTGGGAATATCTAAGTCCTAAGTCTACTACTGTATGTAACCTAGATAACACTTCTCCATTTATGGTAATGTCTAGGTTGAGTGATGTATCACCGAAGCATATCCATCCACATGTAGTTGTGTTATGCATCTACCTCAAACATCAATTCTATACATCACGTCACCGACTCTTCTTACAATGACACCTGCTATACACACAGGATCTCAGTGTCGAAAGTTTCTTACATAACCTGGCTACCCATTAGGAAGCTGACGTTCAATCTTCCTGTTTCCCAGTCAAGGCCCAATAGATTGAAATATTCATTGGTGACATAACATTTGTAGTTGATTATTAGATCACTACATTTGACAACACATTTGATAATTGCAGAAAT